AATACGGAAATAAAAACGATTTAAGATGCTGCCAAATACTACATTTAAAAAAATAATAATTCAAAGTACAAACTTGATTAATCATTAACTCAAGGAACTTTTCACTTAAGCAACATTGTTAATGTTTAAATTACTATATTTTGATTGTTTACTTTTTAATTTTGACTTTTTAGCAGGTCAAATAAATTCTGTATAAACAATATGTGAGTTTGCTGTGTTTTATTGCATACAAGGTCTGTTCAAAAAGAGCACACAAATAACACTCTTGACACAAATTGTGTAACTATAACACATTAGTGTGTAAAAATGTCAACACACTTTCTGTGTTAGAAGGAATAGCACATTGGTTGAGTTAAAAGTAACACAGAGGTGTGTTAAGTGTGTTAATTTTCAACAACCTTTTTAAGAGTATAGAGAGAGAGAGAGAGAGAGAGAGAGAGAGTTTATTAATACATGCCATTTATACTTACTTTTTTTTCCTTTTTTTGATGTCTCAATGTTAAAAACAATTGTGTAGCTTAATATGTTTGTGGAAACTGTTTTTTTTTTCAGGACAGTGTGTATTTGAAACCGATATTTTTTGTAACCTTATAAATGTATTTACTGTTAATTGTTAATTCTTATTAAGTATTAATTTATTTTTTAAAAATGTTATTGATACCAAATGCAACAGGATACTCAAAAACCTATTGGGATGCAAAAAACAGCCAAAGACACCCTTCTGTGAGCAACGTGTTGCTGTAGGGGAGGTCTTTTAAAGGGGATGAATTTAAAAAACAAAACACAAAAAACCCAGAGGGTTTTGCCATGCAAATTGCCTAACAGCTATGACACAAAACACGGTTAGCATGCTAATTAAAGCCTAAAATTTTAATTATTTTCATAAAATACAATAAAAAAAATCTAGATGATCTAGTTGACCTTACTTCATAAATATTCAGCAGTTGTGACTCATTTATTTGTTCCATTCAAAATCCACTTGGCTTAAAAATCTTTTTGAGTGAGCATGACGCTTCTGCCTGTAGCTATATAATGGTTTAATATGCTGCGAAAACAGCTGTTCATTTAATCAGATATTTTAATATAGTACTGTTTTCCTTTTTAATGACTTTGATCAAAAGTGGTTGTCTAGACACATTACTGCAGCACAAAAGCTTTTAGTGTCTCTTGCCCGACCCTGCCATCTTAGTCAACATTGTCTATATTTAGCACACAAGTCTCCAAGATTTCCTGTTATTAACTACATACTTCAGATCACCGTCACTCTATTTCTCTTCTAATACTCATGTCTCTCCCTGTGGCTGACAGTCCATTCAGACAGACTTTCTCAAGACCACGGAGCATTGCTTAAAACCCTTCTCTGCCACTCTGACTCAATCATTTGGTGACCGATCCCCTTTGCCTCATCCGATGCATGCGAGTGAGTGAATGTGCAGAGTGTCATTTTAGAAATTCTGCTCTGTACCGGCAGAACCAGAGCAGATTGGCAGCACGCAAGCGGCAACGCATGTGGGCCAGTTCAGAGACAAATGCTTATTGAGTAATCTAATTCAGAGGCTCACCCCAGACCCTGGAGCTCAAATACACACTCATCTAGCTGTTAGCATATGTTTACGAAACTTGCGAGTCCCTGTGTAGCCCAGATTTACCATGAGCCTTTCCTGGATGGTCAAGGATGACAAAACAGCAAAAACATCTTTCTTATGCACAAGGAAAAAAACCTGATCATATTTATCATATTTATTCACTGTATCTTTTAAAATCAACATTACATGACGTTAGCCAGCTATTTTACTTCCGTAACATAACATATTTATGTAACAGTATACTCAAGATATTCTAACCCTAAAGCTAATAGATGAATCATTTGCAATACTGTAAAACCAGGAACTTGTGTTAAGAAAATACAATCCATTTGTTGAATTTAAAGGCAATTTCATCCGAATCTATCATGAAAATCATCAACACACCTTATAAACATGTGAAACTGAGGCTAATAAATTATATTTGAAGATAACCTCAGGCTATCTCTGACTGCTGCAATGGTTTTCAACCAGATAAGACCGCAAATCCGCAAAACAGTTGGAGGAGGTCCACCCTTCCCCCTTCAATAAATTCTCTTTTCACCACTCCCCTAGCGAGACGCTAGTTCCTCCCTTCAGTTTCCTCACTTCCTCGTTGACTTGTTACTTCTTTTTTCTTTCAAACTTTCTAGCAGAAGACACGCAAAACTTTCTCTGACCCCCATCACATCAGAGATTTACCCCAGCACTAAATCTGATAATTCTCGCGGGTACACCCTGACACCTTGCACTGTGAACTCAATTATCACTCTTGTACATCCCCCTTTCCCTCCCCCCAAGACTCGCAGAACACTTTTATTTTTAACTTCCCAACGTTAATTGATATTCCAGGCTAATGCACTACTTGGAAGTTCTTATTGTGAGTCGAGGGGAAAGGTTTAGCATAGCGCACACAGGTATGCAGTCTTTGAACTCATTGATAAGCAATTTACTTTACCACATGGAGAGAGAATGTATGCGGTTAGACGGTCATTTAGAAAAGTTCATTCCGAGTCTTAACACAAGCACACCTGTAATTAACGTTGAAGGCAAATATAATCGGGTTTACTCTGTAAATATCATTTGCTATTAATTGACTACATACTTCAGATCACCGTCACTCTATTTCTCTTCTAATACTCATGTCTCTCCCTGTGGCTGACAGTCCATTCAGACAGACTTTCTCAAGACCACGGAGCATTGCTTAAAACCCTTCTCTGCCACTCTGACTCAATCATTTGGTGACCGATCCCCTTTGCCTCATCCGATGCATGCGAGTGAGTGAATGTGCAGAGTGTCATTTTAGAAATTCTGCTCTGTACCGGCAGAACCAGAGCAGATTGGCAGCACGCAAGCGGCAACGCATGTGGGCCAGTTCAGAGACAAATGCTTATTGAGTAATCTAATTCAGAGGCTCACCCCAGACCCTGGAGCTCAAATACACACTCATCTAGCTGTTAGCATATGTTTACGAAACTTGCGAGTCCCTGTGTAGCCCAGATTTACCATGAGCCTTTCCTGGATGGTCAAGGATGACAAAACAGCAAAAACATCTTTCTTATGCACAAGGAAAAAAACCTGATCATATTTATCATATTTATTCACTGTATCTTTTAAAATCAACATTACATGACGTTAGCCAGCTATTTTACTTCCGTAACATAACATATTTATGTAACAGTATACTCAAGATATTCTAACCCTAAAGCTAATAGATGAATCATTTGCAATACTGTAAAACCAGGAACTTGTGTTAAGAAAATACAATCCATTTGTTGAATTTAAAGGCAATTTCATCCGAATCTATCATGAAAATCATCAACACACCTTATAAACATGTGAAACTGAGGCTAATAAATTATATTTGAAGATAACCTCAGGCTATCTCTGACTGCTGCAATGGTTTTCAACCAGATAAGACCGCAAATCCGCAAAACAGTTGGAGGAGGTCCACCCTTCCCCCTTCAATAAATTCTCTTTTCACCACTCCCCTAGCGAGACGCTAGTTCCTCCCTTCAGTTTCCTCACTTCCTCGTTGACTTGTTACTTCTTTTTTCTTTCAAACTTTCTAGCAGAAGACACGCAAAACTTTCTCTGACCCCCATCACATCAGAGATTTACCCCAGCACTAAATCTGATAATTCTCGCGGGTACACCCTGACACCTTGCACTGTGAACTCAATTATCACTCTTGTACATCCCCCTTTCCCTCCCCCCAAGACTCGCAGAACACTTTTATTTTTAACTTCCCAACGTTAATTGATATTCCAGGCTAATGCACTACTTGGAAGTTCTTATTGTGAGTCGAGGGGAAAGGTTTAGCATAGCGCACACAGGTATGCAGTCTTTGAACTCATTGATAAGCAATTTACTTTACCACATGGAGAGAGAATGTATGCGGTTAGACGGTCATTTAGAAAAGTTCATTCCGAGTCTTAACACAAGCACACCTGTAATTAACGTTGAAGGCAAATATAATCGGGTTTACTCTGTAAATATCATTTGCTATTAATTGACGGGAAGCCTGCTGTAAGACCAGCTTATGCTAGCATGAATTTCAGTGGTTGTCCACTCTGCTTAAAAAAAGCCTTAGCTAATTTGCTGGTCACCCAGTCTGGGGTGCATTACCCAAATGTGTCGTTAGCCAACTATGGTCACAAGTTCCATCATTACCAACATAGTTATAAGATTTCATGTTTTTCCCGGAACAATAGTTCCAATGAACATTCACAAACAGCACTGCAAATTTATATTTTCAGACAGTATAGACCAGACAGGAAAGCACAGGGCAGAGAAAAGGGAATGGGATCGGGCAAAGGACCTTGAGCCGGAAATCAAACTATACTCTATGTCTGCATGCTGCCCACGAGGCTATCAGCACTGCCAGCACTGCAAAGTTGTGTGGCTGGAACAACAGTACAGCTCTCAACCTGTGATAAGAAGCATTGTTTCTTGTTAGCATGTTTGGAATTATGGATGTGCGACAAAGTTATTGCAGTTTTTGAAAACAGTCATGGCTGGTTAGTTAATTTCTTCAACGATGCATTATACTATGGTAGTTAGGCAGCGTTATGTCGTTCTAAGGCAACGCAACACTGCTCAAGCAGCATTATCTTTCTGATGAATTTAGGTGCCCAATGTAGTCTTGATGGTTAATTTAGTCCAAATCTCCTGGGAACATCAGAGTTTAAAACACAACAAGCTATGTTGGTCTTTTAGCAGGGTACTGTTAGGTCTTTGAACAGCTTGAATGTAACTGAAAGTTTGTGTAATGCAGGAAATGTGGAAGCAAGATGATAAAAGCAGTTTGTTTGTCAGTGCCATGGATGGGAAGAATTTACTGTAGAGATGTGCATAGCCTAGTGCAGATAACATTGGGTTAATGTGTCTGTGTCTGTTTGCATCAAAGGCCCGAATACAAAATTGGGCTCTCCTTACCGTCTGGTTGTCTTCATAAAGCTTGAGGTCATAGCCGCTGAGCTCCACACAGAATATAATGGCAGTCACACCCTCAAAACAGTGGATCCACTTCTTCCTTTCTGAACGCTGGCCGCCCACGTCCACCATTTTGAAGGTGAGCTCCTTGAAGGTGAATTTGTTCTCAACAATGCCAGTGGTCATGTCACGTGAGCGCAGAATGTCCTCAACGGTTGGGATGTACTCTGGCGCAGAAATGCGGTCCAGGTCGTTTAGATAATAGGCTGTATTATCCTCTAGGTGATATTCATTGGAGCGGCAGAAACACTCCTGGACCCCTGGATCGGCCCACAAGCGCTTCATCACCCCCAGGAGCTCTGGCGTGATCTCACCCTTGCTCTCGGCAGGCCCGGTGAGGGCAAAGAGTTGCACTGCGTCGTAAGCCCGATCAGGGTTGTGGAAGTCGATCTTCAAGGTGGCGAGGGCACGGATGATGCGGGTGAGTGAGTCAATGGCATTGTAGAGGATGAGGGGCTTGTATTCCTTGCAGGCCTCCAGGTTGAAGCCTCCACTGTGGATGATCTTCATCTGCTTCACAATGGTGCTCTTGCCAGAGTTGCTGGTGCCAAGCAGCAGGAGTTTGATCTCACGCCGCTGGCGCTGGCTTTCTGAGCGGAGGTGTCGATCGATGCGACGTGAGCGCCGGGCGGCCTCCTTCTCCTCTGAACTCTGCCGACACCCCATGGTTGACTGCACCTGGACTTGAGCTGGTAATCCCAGGAAGTGGGAGAGTGGACGGTAAATGTATGCAATGTAAAAAGATATGGTGATACAGTTGAGCTGATACTAGAGGAAGCTATTGCTGGAAACCAGTTTCAGATTGGTGTTAGACAACATGCATTGTCCAAGTCTACAGTTTTTGAGTAACTTTTTTAAAGGGTTGATGTTTTGGCATTCAGTGCTACCATGACATGGTGGAAGACCCACTCAGGCCCTGTCATAAGGGCGTGTTTGCCTTCACTTGAGGTTCATATCAGGGGACTCTCTCCCCTGAGCACGGCAGACTTTAAGTTGACTTGTCAGTGTTCATCGAGAGAAAGTCGAAACCGTAAAATTCCTTCACTCTCCTCCCTCATGACGTCCAATGTGCTTCCCTGTAATTCTGTGACTGATTCATCTGTTGTCAATTCCTCCCTTCATTAATTTTCTTCAGACACTTTCCATCCGATGGAATGTCAGACCTTAGTTCTCGTAGACTGTTTTTTGGTGTCTGTGTACTAGATCGTCTTGCTTGCATAAGCCAGTGAGGCAGCTAAAGGCCCATGTTCCTGCAGGTAAAAAAAACAAAAAACGAGACGTTAATAATCATGAAACAGAGAGGAGGGAATGTAAAACTGAGAATTCTAAGAAGAAAGTTTCTGTCTTAGAGATCTTAAACCTTCGTAAACCTTCTGAACTGGACGATGTTTCACAAAATTAAATATTAATCACTTCACAGTTCTTAACTTCAAAGTCAACATAATACATGCATTCATAACCCAGTTTTACCTCTGTAATGTTACGTATTTCTGAAACAGAATATACAATGAGAAAAAACTAGGACTTAGGACTTGAGTTTTTCTGTAATTGATTGAATTGTGAGAAGTGAGTGTTTCATACCAGGATGGAGTCACTGAATGAAACACTGCTGACACCCACTTTTGAGGAAGCATTTTGACCTGGGCATGTAGGCTGAAGGTCAAGATTGCCATCAAGAGCTCCTAGATGCATCCCAATGATAACGTTTCTTTTCAAATCTATCTTTATTTGCTATTATTACTGCAACTTGAATTATATTTATGTTACCTGGAATAATATTTAAGAAAAATGCTATATTACCTACAGAAGAACCCCTAAAACAATGCCTATTGTAAGTAGCTATTTGGCTACTGGCTACACTGACCTTGGTGATGTGAGAAAAACAAATTAAGACAAACCTTTTTTTGGCAGCATTTTGAAAGTTAATAGGTTGATTTAGTGTTGGCTTAGATTTAGTATTCTGAACACAACATAAATCTTTTCAACAAAAACACTTGAATTGCACATGCAGAATAAACAAATGTACATGTGTAAACTTGTCACAAACACAAGAAAAATCACATCAATTGCTTTCTTGCGCCCACAATTTAAAAAAATTAATTTAAAAAAAGCAGCGTAAACTCAGGCAAAGCATGAATAGACATGGTTATTAGCACAGTCAGTCTCTGTTAGCTCTACAATATACTTCTGCTACACACTTCTGCTTTCTCAAAAACACACACACACATACTTACATTTGTGGTTTACGGGGACTCTCCATAGGCGTAATGGTTTTTATACTGTACAAAATGTATTTTCTATCATCCAACACCAACCCTACACCTAAACCTACCCCTTACAGAAAATTACTGGCTATTTTTGATTTTAATAAAACACCGTTTTGTATGTTTTTTTAAGCCTTTTGTTTTACAGTGACACAGGAAGTGTCCTCATAAACCATGTTTACGTTGTAGTACCCATGTCATTATACTGATTTGTGTCCTCATAAACCATATATACCAGTACACGCACACACACACCTTAGATCATGGTTTGTATCAAAAATCTAACCTTCTCCATAGTAAGCCTGTCCCATCATGCGCTCCCTAGTCACCGGCATCTCTCTTTGACCATAGATTCAGGTCTGCCAAGAGGGTGATCCACCACACAAAGCCCACATACATTTGTTCTCAAACAGACACATCCACACACACACAAGCAGAGGCAGGCAGGGTGTGAAATGGAAACAGATGTGAGATGAATGTCCTTCCCTGAAGCAAAAGGTACCGCCCATTCTACTCTCCCTTTCCCCAAGCCTCAACCACTGAGCTAACTGATAGCAGGTGGACTGTTTATTTACTGTCATGGTGGAAAATAACTGGCTCAGACAAGCTGGAGAGAAGCACCTGCTTGTGAACACAAATGCTAGCCATGCAAGCTCGATTTTGTGCGTCAGTGTGTTGTGAAAGGGCCACAATAATGGACAGTAATTCAAACCATCTTTTACCACACAGTCAACAACTGTCATGATGGAGCAACAATGTGAGGAGAATTTTACTGAGCATATGTTTACATTTGCCTGAGAAATAAAACATGCAGTTTAATAGCAAAGGTACAGCAACAACCCGCAAGAACAACCCAGAACACCCTAGCAACAGCACAGCAACCACTCAGACCACCTTAGTAACTGCATAGTAACAATCACTCAGAAAGAGCCTAACAACTACTCGGAACACTCAAGAGACAGAACCTCATAGAACACCTTCACAATTGCATAGCAACACCCTGAGCAGAACAAAAGCAGAACAATGCCATAGAAACTATCCAGAACATCCAAGCAACCTCATAGCAAGACCGTAAAAACAGCTCAGAACACCATAGCAATTGCATAGAAACACCATAGCAACCACTCAGAACACTTAAGCAACAACTTAAGAACCAATCACCCTATTTAGCAATTGCATAGCAACACCATAGCAACTACTCAAAACACCCTAGTAATACCATAGCAACACCCTAAGAACCACTTAGAAACCCTCAAGCAACAACTTAAGAACCAATAAGAACACACATTTAGCTCAAAACACCATAGCAACACCCTAAGAACCACACAGAGCACTCTAGCAACAACACAGAAACACCCTAAGAACCACTTAGAACACTCCAACAACAACTTAAGAACCAATCAGAGCATCCCATTTAGCAATTGCATAAAAACACCATAGTAACTACTCAAAACACCCTAGCAACACCCTAAGAACCACATAGAACACCCTAGCAACAACATAGCAACTCTTTAAGAACCACCTAGAACACTCTAGCAACAACTAAAAGAACAAAACACCATAGCAACACCCTAAGAACCATACAGAGCTCTCTAGCAACAACATAGAAACACCCTAAGAACAACTTAGAACACTCCAGCAACAACTTAAGAACCAATCGGAATATCCCATTTAGCAATTGCACAGTGACACCATAGCAACTATTCAAAACAGTAGTTCTTAGTAGTTCTCACCGTAGCAACATCCTAAGAACCACGCATAGCACCCTAGCAACAACATAGCAACACCTAAGAACCACCCAGAACACTTCATCAACAACTTAAGAACCAATCGGAATGTCTCATTTAGCAATTACATAACAACACCATAGCAATTACTCCAAACACCCTAGCACCATGCTAAGAACCACACAGAGCACCCTAGCAACAACATAGCAACACCCTAAGAACCACTCAGAACACTCATGCAACAACTTAAGAACCAATCAGAACATTCCATTTAGCAATTGCATTACAACACCATAGCAACTACTCATAACACCCTAGCAACAACATGGCAACTCCCTAAGAACCACTCAGAATACCTTGGGAACTGCATAGCAACACTAAAGAACCTCCCAAGCAACCACAAAACAACTCTATAGAAACTCTCCATTAAAACACCCTAGCAACACCATAGCAATACCCTGAAAACCACACAGAACACCCTAGCAACAGGATAGCTCACAGTTAACCATAGCAACAAAAAAAAACCCTACCAGTCATTTTTCATATCCTTGCATTATACCTTGTTCTTCGGTCTGACAGCATTTGAATGCATTATGCCATCCATTATTGAAAGCATCCCAAACAATATATGGATAAAGGATCCCTCAATATGATGTGAGCCCTAAAACAATTAGTCATGAAATATGTACTTTGAAGGGGAGTAGATGAGCTCTAAAGGTGATCTGTTAGAACACAAGAGCCTGAGGGACAGCATAATAAATGGATGCTCTTTTTAACAGGCCCTGTGCTAACAAATGTGAAATCACGCCATGGCCTAGTTTCGGCGGAGAGATTACATTTCTTAGACCGGTCGCACAGAGAGAGAGAATGCATCTCCAAGATCTGTCACAGACACAATCCTGCTCTTAGAAAGATTACTGCACAAATGTGTGGCAGGATTTGATGGGGAAAAGCCACAGCAAAGTACGACGCACACAAAGGAAGGTATATCGAGCGATTTTACTGCTGATTCAATAAATCGTGTCAAACTCGTTCATGTTCAGCTAGATGCTCTGCTAGCGTAGTGGAGCAGTTTCTGTGTGTCCACTCTAAATACAATACACTTTTTATGTCCAAGGCCTTTTTTTTCAAGCATGACACTAACCGCACATTTTTTGTTGTTGTGAGAACTATTCCATTTTTTAGATAAAGCAAATACTACCTCTTAAAAGGTCATCTGGCCTGTCCCAACTCAGAGGTCTTGAGGTCTTCGTACCATCTTATTTCTATAGTTTTCTACGATCTGCTTATGCCTGACTGCAACATTAATAAGGTGTATAGCCTACCGAATTTGGCCATACTTTTACACCATCCTCTTCCATTAAGCCTATGGGATGATAAGAGTTTAGCGTGTCGCGTTCATATTCTCATCTGCTTTCCTGTACCTAGTAACCTATACTTTATTTACATTGTATTAATAAATGGCAGCGGCTATTTGCACTAAGTGTAAATGGCGATAGAGGCTACACTAAGTGCAAATAGCAATAGATGCTATTTACACTAAATGAAAATAGCATATTTTCTTAGCGATAGATGCTATTTACACTAAGTGCAAATAGCGATAGAGGCTATTTACACTAAGTGCAAATAGTGATGGATGCTATTTACACTAAGTGCAAATAGCAATTAATTCTATTTACACTAAGTGAAAATAGCAGTATTTTTAACAATATGCTATTTACACTAAGTGCAGATAGCAATATATTCTATTTACACTATGTTAAAATAGCAGGATTTTTTGCTATTTATACTACTTATTGCAAATAGTGGCAATTATCCGCCCCTCAGTATTATAGTACATTATAAAACAGTATGTAGTAATAACGTATTGAGTGTAAATTACCATTTTAATTCAAATTATTAAATGGATGCCACCTTACTGGGACAATAAAGCTCTCCCTACACCTACCCTAACCCTACCCGATACTTTATTTTCAACTTTTTGATTATTTCCTTAATTTTTATTGAAAATAAATGCCTTTCCGATGTGACGTGAGATTTGAAAAGGGAGAAAAAACGTTAGGCAAAAGGCAGATTCGAACTCTGGTCGATCGCATCAAAAAAGACTACGGTACACACTTTAACATCTACGCCGGAATATTTCTGCTGTTTTTTATATTGTTGACCACCCCTATCACACGTTTGTGGGCAGAGCTAGTGTAAATAGCCTCTGCAAATAAGGCGAGCTATTTGCACTTAGTGTAAATAGACACTCCATTA